AAGGGGCAGGGCAAGCAATGGAGGGGGGCGGGCTGGCTCGGGTCGGGGCACGCTGATGAGCACGGGCATGCTTGTGTGGATAAGTTGTGGGTCCCACCCGCATGCGAGTAACTGGTGGGTCCCGCGTGTCATAACTCAAATCGCTAACCCTCGTGTTTTTCATTTCACGGTTAAACAGAGCCATGTCGCATTGAAGCTATTTACACGCTTAAATGTGTCGCATCACAGCCATTCATTCAAACTACATCGCACTCCTTCTAATTCGCATGAAAAACGTCGCACAGGAGCTATTGGCCCGTCTCCTTTGTCTGCACGGCTGCAGGCCTGCGTGGTAGAGCCGGACTGCACAGATAGACACACGCCTCATGATGTGATCGGGCCATATAAATCTAGCCTAGAGATTCACGACAAGTACACGAGGCAGCGGGAACCAGGCCGAAAATCGGCAGCAACATGGCCTGCCGCCTCGCCCTCACCAGGGTACGTACTTCTTCCTTATCTCCAGCAAGCAAACATAAATATAGCCTTGTTCGTCCAATTTCACCGGGCTTTTGGTTCCTTTGGTATGCACCTGATGGCTTACCAATGCTGCCTGAAACCACGACGCACTGTCCTCCGGCGTCTCTTTCAGACTGATTTTGGGGCTGGCAGCCATAAGATTATGTTCTCCTGTCGTCTTGATTTCTGCGCGTGTTTCTGTTGCAGGCTGCGAGGCGGGTTTACGGTGCGGCGGCTGCTGTTCCTTCCTCCAGGGTATCTGCTGCAAAAACCATTGGCGCAGGTATGTAGACCTAGAGCTTCAAATCGATATACTTGTGTGGCAACTGCCAACTACCCGACAGACAGCGAGAAGATTAGCATGGCCCCTGGGAAAGGATGACAGGCAGAAGAAAAAAAGAACTAGTATTGTTTTCAGTTACCTGCATCCTGTTGGTTGGCTGCGGCCATTGCCATGGAGGAACTGATAATATAGGCTTCCTTCTGTAAAACTTATGATACACTTGGTGCATGCTTGGTGCAGGCGGAAACATACAGAGGAGATACGGAACAAGGCCTGCTCTTCGGAGAGCACAGGGGGTCGTGCAGGACTTCGAAGCCAAGAATCCGACGCAGTCTCCAGCTCTCTCCGACTACATAAAAGCCCTAGTCACCCTTGAGCTGCACACTGGAGGTTTCTTTCGCTGCCATTCTTCTTTTTGATTGATCCCACGCGTAACGTAACCGATGCGCATTTTGCTCCGCAACTTGCTTTGTTTACCTGCAGGCGAGTCATCATCGTTTGACACGGCGTTCAAAGACCAGTTGATCAAGGAGCTTTGGCCTACCTTGCGGACCATTGCGGCCACTGGCCTTGTGATCTACTACGGTAATGGTCTGGCTGACAGACTGGTTAAGCAGGGCACATTCGACCGATTGGATGACGTGAATGACGTGTCCATGAAACCAACCACGAGATTCAGTCATGTCAAGGGAGTCGACGAAGCCAAGGCTGAGCTCGAGGACATTGTTTAGTACCTGAAAAATCCCAAGGTGAGAGCGACACGTCGCCATCATCAGCTAGCAAACCCCTGCATGCAGGCAGCCTGGCTGGTGAAGTCAATTCAACTTTCCTTCTTTACTTTCTTGATGTTGATTCTATCATTGCTTGATTTCGCAGTATTTCACGCGCCTTGGTGGCAAGCTTCCAAAGGGCGTTCTGCTTTCTGGCCCACCAGGCACAGGGAAGACCATGTTGGCGAGGGCTGTGGCCGGGGAAGCCGGCGTCCCGTTCTTCGCGTGCAGCGGCAGCGAATTCGACGAGAAGTATGTGGGTGTTGGGGCTCAAAGAGTGAGAGAACTCTTCAGTGCAGCAAAAAGGTGATCCCCTTGCATAATATTCATCGATGAGATCGACGCCATTGCCGGTAGCTGGAACTCAGACATTTCAGAGTCGCGGAGCCAGACCCTGAACCAGCTGCTTGTTGAGATGGATGGCTTCAAGCAAAATGACGGGATCATTGTTCTCGGGGCGACCAACTTCCCCCAATCGCTGGACAAGGCTGCTAATAGACCTGGGCATTTTGACCGTCATGTCCAGGTTCCTAGTCCAGATGTCGAGGGTCGACGACAGATCCTCAAGGCTTGTATGGCAAAGGTACATACTCTGTCCAAAAAGATAAGGCGTCTTTGTAGTATTGACTGCAAGACTTTGACCTTTCTCTATGATGCTTCTTTTCAGGTCAAAGCCAAGGGTGTGAATCTGATGACCATTGAGAGGGGGACACCGGGATTCTCAGGTGCAGACCTTACAAATTTGGTGAATGACGCTGCCCTGAAGGCTGCCAAGGATAAGGCAGAAGCTGTTACAATGGATCACATTGAATATGCCAAGGACAAGATCATGATGGGCAGCGAGCGAAAATCGGCAGTGTTACCTGATAATTGCAGGCAGATGACTGCGTACCATGAGGGAGGGAGGGCCCTTGTTGCTATCCACACGGACGGTGCTCACACAATCCACAAGGCTACCATTGTCCCGAGGGGGAACACTCTCGGCATGGTGACGCAGTTGCCGGAGGAAGAAGATGTGTACAAAGTCTCAAGAAGAAGATGCTGGCCAAATTGGACATACTCATGGGAGGCAGGGTGGCTGAGGAGCTTATATTTGGAGAGAGCGAGGTGAGCTCTGGCGCCGTGTCTGATCTAAGCGAGGCGACTAAACTGGCCAAAGATATGGTCACCAAGTATGGTATGAGCGAGCTGGTCGGTCTTGTTTCCTGCGGCAACGACAGTGATGGTGGTGGCGGGAGGAAGGCAGCGACTGCGAGTGGGCATACGATGGCTCTGGCCGATGAGGAGGTGAGAGAATTGCTTGGCAAGGCTTACAAGAACGCGAAGAAGATAGTCACGGCGCATAGCAAGGAGCTTCATGTGCTAGCCAATGCCCTTCTCGAGCACGGAACTCTCACCGGAGACCAGATAAATGAACTTGTATTGTCAACTAATTAAATGAGAAAACAACAGAGACGCAAAACAGTTTTGTCCTAACAAGTTGTTTCTTCTTCTTTTGATCCTTTAGCTGCATGCCAACAAATGCAAAGGAGATGTACGATCTGGATGTCTCTGACTTTTTGTTTCAGACAAGTCTGAAGTGTTTTGCACTTTTGCATATTGGTGTGTTTGAAACTTTGAATCATAAAAAAAACTGCTGCTATGGATCTCAAACATGAATTTGACCCCCCCCCCCACACACACACACCCTCCCCTTCGCCCTCTGAGATTTGTATTTCAGAGTTGAATAGGATTTCTGTGACTGAGCATAAGGATAAATAATTGCAATTTCAGTCCTAGCTACATACATTTTCCCAGCTGCAAAAGCCTGTATAAAGATATCATTAGGTGCTTTGCATAAACGTACCATGTGTTTGTAACTATACCTGCTAACCTATGTCAGCTTGTGCAAAATAATTCTTACCGAGTTATTCAGCTTGGTGAGAGCGAGGTGACTGCTGGTGCATTGGCTGATCTAAGCCAGGCGAAGCACTGGCAATAGTCATGGTCACCAGGTATGCTATGAGTGGGTGGGTCGGCCTTGTTTCCTACGACGACGACGATTGTGGTGGCGGCAGGGGAGGATCTAGTGGGGGTGCCATGTGTATTATAGGTGCAAAAAAAATTACCTACTAGTCTTTTAGTATAATCTTCTGTGTGTTATAAATTCCAGGGTTTTAACAGTTGTCTTCTCGCAAAAAAAAAAAGGTTTTAACAGTTGTCGGCAGAGTCAAGAAACACCTCCTTCACCCTAAAAGGTGAGAGGCCAAATAGTTCTGACCTAAGGAGATTATTATCTTTTTAAGTTTTTATTATGTATGACTTTTGTTTATTAAGTCTGAAGAGAATGATGTGTTTTGAATCAGTGCAACCTCCTGCATTTTTGTATCTAAAACACGAATGTACACCATGGATTTTATTATTAGAATTTCTGTGATTGAGCACAAGGGTATATAAATGCAATTTCAGATCAAAAGCTATGTAAGAATATCATAAGTTACTTGCATAAACGTAGCATGTGTTTGCAACTATACCTGTAACCTACGTCAGACTGCAAAAAAAAAAAATCCCAGCGAATTCTTTCATCTTGGTGAGAGTGTAGCACCTCATTCGTTTCGCAATGAGCTTTTCTTCCCATCAGGAACTTCTCAATATTAACACTTCTGACCACAGCTTCTACAGCAGTGTGACTGCAGCGTACGTGCTGCAGATGGGCCTCAGATTCGACCATGGCGCAAAAACAGCAGCTGCCGGTTGTTCAGGTCAGCACATTTTGCTCACAAAAATGCCCCAAGTATATACGATTAAGCCACAGTTCTAGCTGAGATGCAGGGAAGCAGCTCTACCTTGACATCTCCAGCAATCCCACGGTTTCAGCAGAGATGGAACAGCTCGAGACGTGTGACGCTTAATCGCAAAGTGATGCGTGGCTGGAGTTGGACATCATCAAGCATAATCGTATGCTACATGTTCACAGCTTCTGTTCAGTGGAATGACACAGCTTCTGTTCAGTGGAATGCCACTGTACCCTTTACTGTAATCCTCTCATTCCTCTGATCCCAACTGCCAGACACCAGTTTCAACCTCAGCTGCAAGAATGGCCAAACTGTTCCGCTGACCCTTCTAAGGTTTGTACTCCCAATATATCACCTATGTCTACCAGTAGTCTCTGCAAGAGCACGAACCTTGATCAAAACGATGAAAATGAGTCGGATCTCTGACAATTATTCCCCTGTTTTCCCTTGCTGATAGCAACTTCAGTGTTTCATGGCTTTCCCAGGATATCCTCTGGTTCTTCATAATTGTTACAGGAGCAGCAGATGGCAAACTGGACAGCCCAAGAGCCACCGCCAGCAGTTCACCATGTCTGGCGAGTGAGGTCTCGCCATCCTTTCTGCTCTGGAATCCTAATTCCCAAATGTCCGTTCCACCACGCTCAGTCTTCTGTTTCACACTGACCAGCAATTCTTCTAATCTGGCATGAACTGCATTATTGTGTGGGCAGGAGTTATTTCCATCAGTAAAATGATGGATGGATCCCCCAAACTCGGCCCAACTAATCCCGGCTTCCTTACTCATGCCTCGCTCTCTCATCAGGCCTCTCGTCTTCATAGCCAATGAGATTTTGCCGGCACCCATGTAGAGGTTGTACAGCACCACATATGAAGTAACAGCGAAGGGCTCGAGTTCCATTAATTTCTCTCCGGTTTTTATACCCCTCTCTTTGTCCCCATGGATTCTGCATGCACGCAACAGTGCATGCCAAAGTATTGGGTCATTTTCTGATCCAGACCCCATTATGAAATCTTCAGCCTCAGATATCTTACCAACACGGCCAAGGAGGTCAACTACGCAAGCTTTGTGCTTCGTATTTGGGGAACAGCCATAATCTGATAGCATGCTCTCATAGTGCCTGCATTACAAAAAGACAGATACTTGATGAATTGTGAACATTGTTGAGAAATTGGATAGAAGTGCCAGGAATAGAGGAGACCTCCCTATTTCTAACGTTCCTTTAAAGCACATTATTCAATTAGCATCATACACTTAAGTTCTGAGCATACATAATTTTGTGCAGGAAGGGTATGTCAAACTTGAACCCTCCACCTTTTGCATCCGGGCTTGGGACCGGCATTGGCGGTGTTACTTCATGTCTGATGATCACACCAGTCCATGGACATTGGTAATTAGGAAAGGTATAAATATAGTTCACATGAGAAACTGAACGCAAGCTACATTTCCAATCTGGAGGGTAGGTACGATATCACAATATAAGTAACCCCTAGGTTTGGCGCAAGTAAATAGCTAATTTAACATGTCTTTTTGGTGCAAGAATGTGGGGCATTTGGCAAATCGATTTTTGGAGCTAGACTTGGCTATGTTGCATTGCACAACACAATTCCCAGACTATCATATCTCCCTTGCTATGGCATATACTTTCTGTGTAGGATGAGTTGAATATTGAACGCTTAATGTATATTAGAAAGGTCCTTAATAAGTTGCTACTAGCATATATAATACACATGAGGATACTAAAAATTCACAGGAGGAAGACAAAGCACTTTTTGAGAAACAACAAAACAGGCAGATCAATCATTACTTTGCAAGAGTATGTACCTGAAACCTTCCTCTGCCAGCCCCTGCTGGCTGCAAGCAATGAGAACGGCAAGCAAAGCATTATCATTTATCACGACACCACAATCCTTCATCTTCTCCAGGAGCACTAGAGCCTCGCCTTCATGGCCATGGACTGCGTAGCTCAAAATCATTGCAGACCATGAGAATATATCCAGACATGTAATCAGCTCGAATGTCTTCTTTGAAGCCTCAACATCACCTATATTCCTATACATAGAAATCTGAGAATTGCCGCACACAGTGAACTGAGCGAGTCCAGATTTGACCGTATAACAGTGTATCTGCTTACAGGTTGCTGGTAGACTCAGAGCAGCACAAGCATTCATCACACTCGATAAGGTGAACTGGTCTGGCTCTTTTCCAACAGAAAGAAACTCTAGGAACAGGCCTAGTGCCTTCTCAAAATTCTCATCATGCACGAATGCTGTAATCATGGATGTCCATGTGACGACATCTTGCCTGGGAGTCATCTGGAAGCATCTCAGACTGTCACTTACTGACCGTGCTTGGGAGTACAAGTTGATCAGCGCATTTGCTATGAACTCATCGTCCTGAAACCCATTGAATATAACATGAGCGTGTATCAGCCTCCCACAGTGCACCGCATTGGTCAAATTGCAGACTTCGAGCACACTCTTGAAAGTAAACCTGGACAGTTTTACACCCATCCGGAGCAAGTCTGAGAAAAGCCTGACAGCTTCGATTCTAATCTCAGGGCAAGGGTCATTACCTAAGCGAGCGAAGCCCGCGATCATGGCACCGTAAACCACTGCATTCTGATTCGGGGTGCAGTCAAACACCTTGATCGCCTCCTCAAGTCCACCGTTCTTGGCATACATGTCCACCATGGCACTCCCGACGAACATATCCAAGTCCAAACCAACCTTAACCACGCAGCCATGCAGCATCCTCCGGACATCCTCGGAGCCCTGGAGCTCGGAGCAAGCCTTGAGGATCCCACCCAAGGCAAAGCTATCCAGCTTCACCCCTGACCGGTGCATCCAGACGAGCACGTGCACGGCCACCTCCGGCCACCCCATGCACACGTACGCTGACAGCAGCAGGTTCCAAGACGCCTCGTCCCGCTCCTCAGCCCGGTCGAACACCAGCCTCACGTCATCAATCATCCCGCACTTGGCATACATGTCAATGACGGAGTTGGTCAGGAACGCGTCCTGCGCAAGCCCACTCACCACGGCCAGCCCGTGCGCCGCCCGGCCGTGCCTCCAGTCCCCAGCCCTGCCGCACGCCGCCAGGACCGCGGCGTAGGTGAACCTGTCCGCCCGGACGCCGCCGCCCCGCGCGTCCCGGAAGGCGGTGCGCGCGAGGCGCGCGGAGGACCCGCCCTGGCTGGAGTAGCCCGCGATGAGGGTGTTCCAGGACACGGCGTCCCGGCGCGGCATTCCGTCGAACAGGAAGCGGGCGTGCCGCATGTCGCCGCCGCGGCAGTAGGCGGCGAGGAGGTTGTTGCGGAGGAAGAGGCCCGGATGGAAGCCGGCGCGGAGCATGTGGGAGTGGGTCAGCCTGGCCAACGGCAGCGACCGCGCCCTCGACGCGGCCCGGAGGAGGCCCGCGTAGGCCGACGGGTCCAGGGGAGGGGCCCGGCGGCGAGGTGGTGGCGGAGCCTCCGCAGGAGGGACGCGGCGACGGGGCGGCGGCGGCGTTTGGGATGGGGGCGGGGGCGGGGACGGCTGCTGCCGGAGAAGACGGTGGCTGGGTCTCCGGTGCGGGAGCAGCATCGGTCGTGTGACGCTGACAGCTGGGCCCCCATCTCACTCACTCGAGAGACATTTTATTAACAGCCTCCAAACTACTGTGGAATCACACCAGGGTTAAAACGATTTACATTAAGCTCGCAGCTACGAGCTAAGAGCATCTCTAGCGGACCTCGTAACACTGCGAACCTTAAACCCCCGGATAAGGATCGAGAAAACCGCGGTTTAAAGACCGAAATCGGCTGCGGTGGAACAGAGCCCGCAAACCCGAGCGGTAAAAGAGAATATTCTCCGAGATCCTCGCCGCGCCGCCCATCCTCGCCACGCCGCTCGTCCGCCCGCTCGTGCGCGCTCGCCTGCGCCACGCCGCTCAGATTGCTGACCCATGCCCGCCAACCGCCTGCCACACGCGCGGCGCCGTGAGAAATTGGATGGGGCACTCTCGAGCTGGTTGGGATTGAGGCGAGGAAACGTAAAGAGAAGGCCAGACTTCGCTGGAGCCACAAGAGATTGATGGTTGGAGCCCTCTGGTACGGACGGCGGCGCGCGTGAAGAGCGGAGAATTTCGGCCAGTTCCGGCCAGTTTGTGGCCTGTATACTGCCCTCCAAACAGTATAAATATAGGTTTAAGGCTCACGTTTTCGGTGGCCTGTAAATTGTTTACGATTCAGCGAACATTTACAGGGTCTGTTCTGAACACAAATTTGATCCAAAACCATAAATCCACTGAAATTTTACAGGTTTGGCGTTTTTAAGGTGTCTACTAGAGATGCTCTAACTTATGTTACACATGGCAACTATAAGATTCTTGTCACACATGGCAACTTTTGTTTATTTTTCTTACGGTCAATTTCAAAGCACTATTCTACCAAAACATGGCAATTTTTTGAATTTTGTTATTTTAGTATGCATCTCTATGATTTTCAATACATGTGGCAAAAAAACCATTGAAATATATTTTTAACACGAAAAATTCAGAAATTTAATTTTGGTTACTTTGGAAAATTTTATTTTTGAACATGCAAAGTTTGTGTGAACAGAACCATTTTATGTATTTTTCTGTGTTCTGTATCTTTTCTCATTGTCTTTTTTTTTGGTTTTGGACATTTTTTTGTGCAACACTAGGCTAATGGGTTGTACGTGGCCTTTTTTTCAGCTTGGGCCGGTTGGGTTTGTACATAATAAGTTAGGCTAATAGCGACAGCGAATATGATGGGCTAGAACGGGAATGACGGGGGTGGTTAGAGTTGATTGGCTAAGATTTGGTTAAGTGACGGATTTTAGCCCCGAACAGAGCAATGGTAGACTCATAGGCAGTTTACGGGGGATTGACGGGGTGGTTAGAGTTGATTGGCTGAGATTTGGTTAAGTGAGGCTAGCCCACCGGTGAAAATCATAGGGGCCAATTAAAGTAGGGCACGCAGACGGGTCCATAAAACCTCGTTGTTTCTTTCCGTATGTGTAGTATTATCTCCGTGAACGTATTCGTTCGATCGGATCGATTGATACAACCTAACGATTCGTTCGGTGTGGGAGCTCTCAGACTGACAGTCAGGTGAATATAGCTATTATAGCGGTCTGCCGAGAGCATGATGTCAAATTTATGGGAGCTTGACACTAGTAGAAAAAGGCCCATTTGTCTCGGTTCCAGAACCGGGACTAAAGGGTCGGGACTAAAACCCAATACCTTTAGTCCCGGTTCGCTTACGAACCGGGACAGATGGTGCTTCACGTGGCCGCTGCGGCGAGCCCAGGCATAAGGGCCTTTAGTCCCGGTTGGTAACACCAACCGGGACCAATAAGCATCCATGCGTCAGGAGCTCAGGGGTTTCATATATTGTGTTAGCTAGCTAATAGAGAAAAGTGACCTTTCTTATCTCCGTGCTTGGTCGACGCTGCGTACTATATGTATATAGAGGACTCGACACGCTAGCTAGTAAGCAAATGAAGGAAACCATTAAGTACACAAGATCGTCATGAACATATACAGAGAGAAGTGATCGACCTCCTCCTTCTCCGAGAGATTGGTCGAACAACAAGTTTTTGTATATCTGTCCGATGCTACTAGCTACATATATAAAATATAAGATCTCTTACAATCCCTAACATCTGAAGTCAAGTGCCACACGGTATTCTCCGACTTTATTGATGATGTGGTCAAGAAAGAATCCCGCCAATTCCTCTTAAATTGCTTTTATGCGATCACGTGGTAGGATTTCATCCTGCAGCTGCCAGATCTAATTTAAAGAAGGGGGTCAATACATGTGTATGAATGAAACTCAACACAAATGATGGTAATAAAATAAAATTGTGAATATTTTTGCTTACACACTTCATATTGTTTTCAGAGTAGCCCCGCTTATTAGAGGCCGTCGTGTTGTAGATGAACTCGCAAACGTAGTATCCACAGAAATCATTTCCGGCTTCCTGCCACAAGCACTTTCCGAGAAATAGAGGTCAATCAAACTAATAAGCAAGCACATGATAAATGGTATTGAGGAAAATAGCTAGAATCAATGGGAGATGAACAGAACTAGGTAGTAGTACTTACTTTCGGGAGTTTAAATCGCAGCTCGGTCGGCAGTCCCGGAGAAATTATGGTGAACTCTTTCCAAACCCTGCCAGACAAAGAAAATAATTACTTGATATCAGGAAATGAACAAAGTTGCTGATATGGTGCGATAATGATCGATTGAACTTACTTCTCGAGCATTCGAGTCATGTCCGCATACTCCTCAGGATCTTTTCATCTGGAGTCTAAGACGGTTACTTCTCCCCGCTCAAGCTTAATCTCTAGGAGAATAAAGTGGAAACTGTGCACGCATGCATAACTCATCAGTTACAATACTATAACCTCGAGTAATAAGGGAAACCGAATGTGCAGAAGACAGTAACACTCGCTGGAAGTTGTGAGGAAAGAGTATTTTATCTTTGCTTTGATTTTTGAGCAACGATTGTAGCAAGTTGTCCTCGGTTTCTGAGACATTGTGTTTAACCGTCCATTCATGTATGACATTTGGGTTAATAAACCCAATGTCATAGATTTGTTTTTTTCACCATTCAACGATCTTCAATCTGCATAATATAGTGAGGATAATTATATATACATGCAATGAAAGAGCTGAGCTATATATAGAGACTTAATTAGAGAAAGTAGTACTTACAGACAGTAGCAAGCCACGAGTGATTTGTCAAGGGCCTTTAGATTGTAGAACTGGAAAAACTCGTCAAATCAACAGTTAACAGTTCTTGTCCAACGAAGTCGTGGTCATCTTTAATTCTCATCGTCAAAGCATCCTTCACAGACTCGCTGCAGGTTTTCATGTACCATTGATGGAATCTTCGCATCATCGTTGTTAGAGGAGGACTTCCATCTTTGACGAGAGGCTTCCCGTACTGGTATCTGAATTCGTCCACCTCCATTGTATCAAAATGTGCATCGTCGGGCAGGTAATCACCAGGATTGACACCGGGCAGCATCCCCGGCAGATTTGCGACGATATCGCTAGACACCTTGAGCGGGGGGCACGATTGGTTCGCCTGTTCGCCGAGCTGGGGAATTTTTTCCCACTTCTTTGTTCTTCTAACCTTTTGTCACTTGAAGTAGTTCCCGATCGGAGCGCTTCTTGCGCTGCCTTTTTAAGAGCATGGACATGGTTGTCACCCGGCGGAGGCGGTGGTGGTCGCTTAAGGGCATCCAAAGTGCGCTTCAATTTCACCGGATCTATCTTCTCCTCCGGAGGTGGATGTTTCTTTGCAAAAAAAGTCCTCCACTTGGGCTTTACAGATCTTCGTGTTTTCCTCCTCGGTCATCTCGTATGGTAACTTCTCTAGAGGCTTGAGAGATGGACCGAATATGTATTGCCTCCCGCCTCTGGCTGTACTGCTAGACGTCGGAGTGGCGGCGTCTCACTTCCATTGCTGCTAACGAGTAGTAGAAGGAGGCGGAGTGCTCCGACGCGCCAGAGCAGCCGGACCGGTGGCTTCTATCTTCCACCGTTGCTGACGGGGCGGAGGAGGAGGCGGGATGCTCAGACGCGCCGGAGCAGGAGGAGAAGGAGGCGGAGTGCCGCCCTCACGCACCGGAGCAGCCGGAGAAGGAGGCGGAGTGCCCTGATCACTCACCGAAGGAGGAGGAGGAGGCGGAGTGCCCTGACTAGCTGGAGGAGGAGGAGGAGGAGGAGGAGGCGTCC